AGCCTCAAAATCTCCACCCAGCATTCTCAGCTCCTTCCCTCAGCCCCACCAGCCTGGCAGGAAAACTTTCCTTGGGGAAAGGGCAGGGGTGAGTCCCCATGCCCAGAAGGGTTTGAAATCCACGTGGCTTTGGCCTTTCCCAGCCTCACTGAATCTGTGATTTTAGGGATTGGAGCCCCGTGTTTGGGCTGGGCAGTGATGTTGTCTCTGCACATGGCAGAGCTGAATTTGTCTCTTCCTCTCACAGACTTTATTTTGGGCTTATTTAACCACTCATCCTGAAACCTGTTGGAAGAGCAGATCCTTGGGATCTGTGCTCCAGGATGAAATGGAGTCTGAGTTGGGCAATATGTGCAGAAGGGAGCAGGATGGACAGTTCAGGGACTGGGGCTCTCCCTGAGGCTGCAGCTGGGAGCAGCCAGAGAGGAGCAGCAGCTGGTGAAGCTGTCAGCTCACAGCTCCTTAATTCTTCCTTTACATTTGGAAAACCTAACCCAGCCCATCAATAAGGGCTCTTCTGTTCCCACTGTCAGTTAGAAACTGATTTATGTCCTGAAACGGGATGATTTAGATCTCCTTCGCATTTTTCTTCCAAGCTGCTTGTCAGTGGAAGTGGGGATTCCCATCATTTGTCAAGGACAGTCCCCTGCGGGTCCTGCTCAGCCCTGGCTCTCAGCTTGGCTTGCACAAAATATCACCCACCAACTGTGGAAACAAAAAAATCCCTTTTTTTTCCATATCTGGAACCCAGCTACTGCTTTTTGCCATTATCATATTCCCTTACAGTAGACCTGGGAAAGATTAGTTTGATGCTGATTTCTGCCTTTCAAATACAGGTGAAGCTGGGGATTTTTTTTGCCAGATGTGCAGCTTTTGAAGGGGTCTCTCCTTTGAGGACAACCTGGCATTGAGCAGGGTCAAGATCAGGCTGAAGCCTGTCCTGGGCTGGGCAGGATCAAGGAAAGCAGAAGCCTTTCATGTGGAAAAGTCACATCCATGCAGCAGGAATGCAGTTTAATTCACAAATCTGGGGGAAAAAAGAATAATTTGTGATTATCAGCTCCCCCATGTTTAACCAGTTTTTTGTTTGTTTCTGAATTCCTTTTGAAGTTCTCCAAAACAATCCCCCTGTGCAAGCAAGCAAGGGTTTCAAAGCTTTGCCTTTGGATTCAGGAGACCAACCCCTGCCCATAGGTTTGCAGCATGTTCCATTCTCTGCTTTTTATCTTTATTAAAGGGCTGTAATTTGGGTGATTCATTGCAAATGCAGCCGGCAGTTTCCTTGGCCTGACACAATTTTGCACTTGGAGAGGCCCCAGAGCAGATCCCTGGGCTCCTGTTCCATGCAGCACTGGAGGGTTATCACAGAAACCCCTCTGGGAAGCAGGAATTCCTTCATCCAGGCACAGGGAGGGCTTGAGCCAGCAGGGTGAGCACTGAGACCCCCTGCTCTGTGCTGTGGGAACTCAGAACCAGGGAGGCACCCAGGGGCTCTTCAACCCCCAAACCAAAGCAAGTGAGGTGGTGTGGCCTCCAAAAAATCTGATGGAGCCAGACAAGAGGCATCCTGACACAGCAAAACCTGCAGGAATGGCAAAAGTTAACACTTCTGGATTAAGGAATGGCAAAAATTAACACTGCTGGGATCAGGAATGGCAAAAATTAACACTGCTGGGATCAGGAATGGCAAAGTTAACACTGCTGGGGTCAGGAATGGCAAAGTTAACACTCCTGGGCTCAGGAATGGCAGAGTTAACACTTCTGGGCTCAGGAATGGCAGAGTTAACACTGCTGGGCTCAGGAATGGCAGAGTTAACACTGCTGGGGTCAGGAATGGCAAAGTTAACACTCTATGGCTCAAGAGTGGAAAATTCAGCTCTCCTGTGGGTTCAGCCATTCCTGGCTTTCCAAGCAGCCTCACTGGATTGGAAAAGGAATGGAGCAGGAGTACGATGTGGTGTTTGGACAAGATCCTGCCCAGCTCAGGGATGGGTTTGTGCCACCCCACTGCCTCAGGGGTGATGTCCCTGCCCCGGGGTCCTTCCCAGCCTTTCCCTGCGCCTGGGGAAGGGGGGCTGAGCTGCTGAAAGCGAGAGGAGCCTCAGGCAGGACAAGCAGAGCCTGGGTGCTCTGGGCAGGGCAGGTGGAGCCAGGGGCTGATCCAGTCTCTGCTTCAGCTCCTCTCACAAAGTGCCTTTCCCTTCGTGCTTTTTGGAAGTCTCTAACTCTGCCTTTCCATCTCATCTGCACAAACCTGATGTTTCCTTGAGAAGCAGTCCTTGAGCACCCTCAGGGACAGTAAAATCAGGGGTGTCACTTCCATGAGGAAACCAAAACCCAGAAGGAGTGACAGGAGCTCCTGCAATGCCCAGCTGGAACCTCCCTCATGCAAACACCAACTCCTGCTGGGCTGAACATCTGCCCAGCTGCAAACCCTCCTGGGACCTGGCCTTAGGAGACAGGCCCAGATGGGGCCACCTGCGAGATTTAGGGTGGAGGAACTGCAAGACTGATGGAAAAGAATGCACAAGAAAACCTTCCCTGACCCAAACGTCACGTTAAAGGTGAATCCAACACTGAAGCTGTGGTAAAGGAGGGGTTGGAGCTCACTGCACATGGAGGATCTGCTTTGTTGTGGCCATGGATCAGCTAATTCCAAAGAAAAGGGAAAAACCAAATATATCAGTCAAAAGCCAAAAATTCCATGAGTCCAGGGTGGCATCATGAGGTCCATTTGCCCCTCACCACCGACTCCCAGGCTGACAAAAGAGAAGGAATAAATGCAAGGTTCATTGCAGAAGCACAAGGAGCCAGCTAAAAACACAAACAAGGCTGAGGCTCTTCCCAAAGTGGAACAGCTCAGCCTTTCCAGCCTGGCCAACTGCAAGCCTGAGCCTGACTGTGTTTGATCTGGGAATAAGATTTAGCCCACACCATCCCAATGAAAAATATCACACGTGGTCTGCACTTCAGGCTATGTTCCAATATCTGAAGGAAGGGATCTTTTAATTGAAAACCTTAATGTTTCTCGTTATATTTAAAATTAGAGCAGAACGGCAATAAAATTGGTCATGGGATTGAGACAAGTTTTCAGGGAGGGAAAGAAATTTATTCTTCATTTTTTACATTGAGGCATCCGTTAAAAGCTTGGGCACATTTGATTACGTCAATGCAAGGATTAATAATTAAAGGAACAACAACCACATGCCTTGGAGAGACACAGGAGATGGCAGCAGCTCGGGCTGGAGCCTCTGAGGACACCCTGGTTTTGCTGGAATCTCACCCCTGCCTGCTGTCCCTCAGGATTTAGAGAAGCACTTTCCTACCAGGCCATGCCTTTCCCAGGAATTTTCAGCTGGTGCCTAAACCCAGGGAAATGGTACCACAGTGGTATCACAGTGATTTTGAAGGAAGATTCTGCTGTTCCCACAGTTTATGAGGGGTTCAAAGAGAAGTGTTTGGGGTGACACCCTCCAGCCCCCAGCAGGAACCTTGGCAGATGCTGATGCTCCAAACACCCCACAGCCCCGAGTCAGCATCACCCAGGACTGATGGAGAAGGAGGCTCCAAGGCCTCCATCCATCCCCAGAGCCCGATGGGTGTCTGCAGGCTGGGCTGGGACTCGGAGCTGTTCCACTCCCAGCACGGCCCCTGGCCAAGCAGGATCCTTGGATTTTCTCTGTGGATCCGCCCTGCAGCCCCAGGGCTGGGAGAGCCTTCCCAGGCACGGCAGGTGGCTCAAAGTGTTGGATTGAGGGATGGAGTCTCCCACTCCAAGGCAATTTTCCCAACCAGGCCCAAATGGAGCTTCCCCTCCCTCCCCATCCTTCCTCCCTTTATGGTGGGAATTTTCTCATTCATTAATAACCTGCTAATTATCCCAGCAGCTTGGAGCTGGGTTGCAGCATGGAATTAGAACCAGCTTTTCCTTTTGGCACCCACCCCTGGGTGTAATTAATGAGGCAAGAGGAAGCCAGAAGACGCAGGTCAGCCTGAGAGCATGGCACACATCGATGGACACCTGGAGCGGGATGTTCCAGGCCGGCCCCGGGGAGGGAGGGCAGCACCTCGGGGTCAAACCAGGCAAAAGAAGATAAAGAAAAAGAAGAAGAAGAAAGATGTGCTCTTTGTTTCCTTTGGTTTTCCCCATTTGAGCTCAAAATCTGGACCAAGGAGGGCTCCATGGAAACTCTGCTCTTCATCTTCTCTTTCCTTTTTTTGGGAGAACTGGGTGGAAGGCTCACACCGTGCCTTGGCCATCTCTGCCCTGCTGAGCAGCCCGAGGGGCACTGAGAGCCCAACACTGTGGCAGACGAGTGTTTCCATGGAGGTCTGGAGAACGACTGGAACTGGAGAGGGACCTGGAGCTGGAGGAGGGATCAGCGTCACTCGCACACCGCCAGCGCCAGGTTGTCTCCCCGCTGCCTTGGCACCAGCAAGTGGCCTCCAAATCCAAATGGAATTGCTTCCCTGCTCACGGGATGTGGGCAGGAGGCTGAGGACCCCGTCTTGCAGAGCTGGGCTGGGGTGACGCAGCCCTTTCCCTTCTCCTTCCCCTTCCCCAGCAGCCCGGGTGACGCAGCCCTTCCCAACAACCCCGCTCCACCCAGGGCTGGCACTGGAGGGGCAATGCCTTCGGGCACTGCCACAGGGTGGTGGCATCACCAGGACAGAGGGACACGATCCTCCTCCTCCCACTTCTCTGGAGCACTGGTAGAGCACAAACTTTGCTCCTCGGGAGCGCTCGGGCTGCCCTCGCCCACCGCGCCTGCTGCAGGGAGCCTTCATCCATTTCCACCTCTCTGCTGCTGCCAGCGCAGCTCCCGGTGCCGCCGGGATGCCAGGATGCCCCCGACGGGTGGCAGGAGGATGCTGGCACTGGCAGGCCCGGGCGGCAGCGCGGCGCTCCGGGGGGAGCAGCAGTGCCAAATTGGGGTTCTAGCCCTTTAAATCCGATCCGGTACTGCAAAAAAAGGACGAGCGAGCAGGAGAGAGCCTTCAGACTCTTTTAATTAAAGCTTGTACCATATTCTGTATTCCCAAGTCACGGCAGCCGCCCGCGCTTCCCCAGGACACCTCGGGCTCTGTCTCGGCACGGCATGGACCGGGACCGGGACCGCGGCTCGGCGGCCACCGGCGGCTGGAGGTACGAGCGGAGGGACGGGGCTGGGGCTCGGCTTCTCCCGCTCCTGCCGGGCAGCTGGGAGCATCCCCCTGCTTTTCCCATGTGTTTTCCTTAGCCGGGGAGAAAGTCGAACGCGTGGCTGTGGCACACGCGGGGCCGGTGGCAGGAGGAGCCCTCCCACCGCGCACCTGGGGCCCGGGGCTGCCTGTCCTGCTCCCTTCCCTCTCCCCTCCTTCCCTTTGGAATAACTGAGTGCATGACCCAGAGTTGTGGCTTTTTTTCCCCCCTCGCTGCTTAAACCCCGGAGCTGCCGTTCAGCAGAAGATAAGTTGGGATGCCTGGCCCATAAATCACGGCAGAAGTTGGTCCCCGCCGCGCTGCCGCCGCTCGGCTCCTCTCCGTCCCCCGTCTCTCCCAGGTTAGGGGAGTTTTGCCACATCCTTCCATGCGCATTGCACTCGCAATGCAGAGCAGTTCTGGAGAGCCTCGCGGAGCGAGTCCCCGCTTATTGGGAACGACAGCGTTGTTCGCACGCCGGAGTCTCCTCTCCCCAGCGCTCTCACCCACCCCAGCCTTAGCTGGGCTGATAAATCGCCCTTCAGCAGGAGCCCTGTGCCCAGAGAACATTTAACTGTGAACTGCCCCGCTCTGCCAGTGATTTTCCTCTCCCCCTCTTCTCCTTAGCCGAGTGACTCTCTGTTTATATTTCCACGCAATGTGGCTTTTTCCTTGAATTATGGATTGTCGTTCCTTCGTCCCCGTCTCAGGTGGGTGCATCTTTAAGGTGCCCTGACCTTAATAAGAACCCCTTCGAGTCTTTGCAGCTGGGTCCCAGGTGAGCCTCTCTCTTGCATGGATCCAGGAGGCAAAGAGGCTGTGCCAGCAAACATTTATCCTGGTGACTATCGGAGGTTAATAACACTTTTGACAAATAGCAGCCTCCTTGAGCCTTGAAATAGGATTGGAAAAGCAGCCACTAATCTCCCTGAGAAGTACTCGGTGGTAGCCACCTCTCAGGAAATCAGGAGAGGAGCTGTTTATGTGCTGCATGTTGAGGCGTTAGCACAGAAAAAAAATCCCGCTTTTCTTAATCCACCGGGAAAAACTCTGCCTCGCCTTCATCTCCCAGGGCAGAGGGCTTGGAGAGGGAATCCTGTCAACTCAGCACGGCCCAAAGCCCACAGGACTGTGGGGCTGCACAGCTGAGTCAGGAACATGGGGTTTTTTCTCCTCAACAATGGTGTTTGCCATAAGCGAGGGAGAGACGGGACGGGGAACTTGGAAGTGAGCAAGGAGAGAGGAGCCGTGGGTCGGAGAAAGAGCGTGTGAGCAGCAGCCTCTGCAGGGCTCAGGTGGTTTGTGGGCAGCAAAACACTTTGCCTTGGGCAGTGAAGGAGTGAAACTTGGAGAGGAGGAGGCACAGAGCCTGCGAGGAAAAGCAGAGGTGCCAGGCCAGAGGGGAATCCACGGCACGGCTCCGTGCTGATCTCACAGACGCGGGGCTGAGCAAGCACAGGGGTGCAGGGCACCCCAGGGCTTTGGGGTTGTTGGTTTTCCCTGCTTTCCTCAGCAGTTCCCACCCCTCGGTAGTGCTTTAGCCATCTGTGACTTTGGTGACATTAGGAAGGAGCTTGTCCCCTGTGACTGAGAGGTGGGATAATGGCTCCATTGTTCGCAGCTCCAAGGGAAGAAAATGACCTGGCAAGGAAACCTGGAAGTGCCTGAAAGTTAAAAAGCCCTGTTCCCGTGGTCTGAGCGGGGCTGCAGGCAAGCTCTTCTCAGGTGAGGCCCCTGGAACCTGTTCCCTCCATCCTGCAGAGCTGGAGAACACTGAGCAGGGTTTGCAAACCACCAATAAATACAAGCAGTGTGTTGAAAGATGAACAAAATGTGCATCTTTTTTGAGCAAAGCAGCTCAAGCACACGGAGGGTGGGGAGTAATTATTTATAGTGCCATCAGCAGAAATAATAGAATGAAATGAAGGGCTGAAAAGTTTTGCTGACTCTCAGGGAATGCGTCCTGGCATGGACGGATCATTCCCGGGCCCAGCCCTTCACATCTCCAGCGCTCCCAAGAGAAGCCTGGAGACAGCAGAGCCTGGGATCCAGGGAGAGCGGCTGGGAGCTGATCCCAGCTGGAGGATGGAGCTTCTGTGGCAGCTCCCACCTCCTTCCTGAGCCCCCTGTGCTGCCCGAGCCTGGATCTGTGTCCAGCTGGATGCCCGAGCAGGGAGGAGCAGCGCACTGCGAGGGGGTGCCCAGGTTTGACTTTTCTATTTCATTCTGGGAACACTGAGATTCAGAAGGGGGGTGAGGAGATGTTTTGAGATCAGCAGTTAGTGTGATGTGGTGTTTTGTGCTCTGTACAGAAGCTCATTGTGCTGGGTTCCAGTCACTCGTGAGCCCAGGCGTTGGAAGGATTGGCAGGCATGGACAGGGAATTGCTCACCTGGAATCCATCACTCACATTAAAGGTGACCTGCACCAGGGCTTCTTTTCTAAAAGGAGATAATTGAGTTGGAACTCCTCTTTGTGGCGATGAGAAAGCCTCTTTGGCATTTCCCCCCCTTTTTTTTCCACCCAGGAATGGTGAGTAGTGCCAAGCTTGTCCCTCCCCATCAGGGCAGGTGTTGGAGGTGGGCTGAGGCTGGTGTAGGTGGAAAGGGTGAATCTGAATCCTGACTGAGTAGCAGGACCTGGGCAAGTGCGGCAGAGTCCCCAGGAATGCTCTGTGGGACAGGTTCTGATCAGCCCCAGAGCCCCTTTCTTCCCCAGGCTCCTTGATAGCACCACCAGGGACCATCCCCAGGTGGGCACAAAGGGCTGAGTTTAAAGGTCCCACCAGGCCATTTGCTCCATCTTGCCCTGCCTGTCCATCTCCAACCAGCCAAGACTTTCCTGCTCCAAACCAGAGCTGAACTTCTGAGGAAGAAGCAGAAAAATAATTCTATTTTTATAGTAGGCAATAACCTTTCCTACTTCCTTGACTCTGTAGAGTGGGAAGAGCCCAGGCACACAAGGCAGAGCTCTCATTTCTGCTTTTCCTTTGCCAGTCACCTTTAAACAAAAGGAACCCAGCAGGGTGTCTGGAGCAGGAAGGGACCAATATGGATCTGACAGAGATAAAACCTAAATTTACTACTTTGAGCTGCTAGAATCGAATAGATTCTTCTATTTAGAGCAAGGGATGTTTGTCAAGCCCATTCTCCATCTCTGGCAGGGTATTGCAGTTGGAATTAGTCTGATAAATTAAAAGCAGTGTACAGAAGTCTGAAATGGTAAAAACACAGCATATGAATGAAATTGCACAGTTATTGAGGGAAATGCTTGAGGGACAGACACCAGCACGGTGTGCCAGCCTGGGGGGTGGCAGAGTCACAGCCAGGGGGTGGCAGGACCCAGCCATGGACCTGCAGGGGTGGATCATCCTGATCATGGTCATCTGTTGTGGTCATCTGGGTGGCTTGGCTGGGCTCGGGTGGCCTTTCAGAGCACTTCATCCACCTCATGCTCTTCTCTTGTCTTCTTTGATGTTTTTACCCTTCCCCCCATTCTTTGGGATGTGTTTTAGCCTTTTGAACAGAAGCCACTCTCAGTGCATTATTTTCAGCCCCCACATGAATGGAAGAAGGTGAGAGGCTGCCCAGACAATGCAAACCTTGTGTTCCACGGGAACCCAGAGACTGCCAGAAATCGATGTCTGCTAGAGGCTGCTCTTTAAATAGAGTTAAACCAAATCGTGTCAGGAGCCCTGGGGATCCTTGAGAGCAGATTTTCAAGAAAGTCATGTACAGATGTTGCCCAATTTGATGCAGGTTTCACCCTTTAAATTCTCTTGTGCTCACAACTGACTGACTCTGGGTTGCTCCTGGCTCCAGCCAAAGCCTGGACTCCAGTTTGAGAACTGCCCAAGTGCTCTGGGAGCCTCAGGCACTGTTTCAAAGGGGATTAATAAACCCTCAGGAGCTGCTGATGCTTCACTAGGAGTTGGCGGGAGGCCCCTGCTGATTTTGGAAAGGTTTCTCCTGGAGGCTCCACTGCAGGAGCAAAGGCAAGAAGGAGCTGGCACCCCCAGAGCTGCAAATGAAACAGGAACCTGTTCAGAGTGTGGTTTTAATTTTGCTGCCTCATAAATCCACTGTGGCAAAGCAGCCTATGGAGCTGGGAAGGGATTAACTTGGGAAGAGTAAAGGTCTCCTAGGGGTTAAGCACAAGAAAGCTGCTGGTTCTTAAGAACAGGAGCTGCCTTGGAGCTGCTGCTGCTGTGGAGGAGTCGCCAGGATGTGACTCCTGGGGGATGTTTGTGGCTTGTAATGATCTGCAACCACCCTGACACCTCAGCTGGCTCCAGGCCTGAGGCTGTGCAGGAGGAGACAGCAGGAGAGTGTCACAGAATCCCAGAATCCAGGCTGGGCCAGGCTGGAAGGGGGCACAGAGGGTCACTGGTGCCACCTCCCTGCTCAGGCAGGGCCATCCCAGAGCACAGGGCACAGGATTGTGTCCATGTGGCTCTGGAATATCCCCGCTGAGGGACACTCCAGCCCCTCCCTGGGCAGCCTGTTCAGGTTGGGCACTGCCCAGGGCAGAAGTTCTGCCTCCTGTGCAGGGGCAATTGCTGGGCTCAGTCCCTGCCCGTTCCTCTGGTGCCACTGCTGGGCCCTGGAGCAGAGCCTGGGCCCTGCTCTGGCCCTCCCTGCACACAGGGACACCCAGGGCTGAGGGTCCCTCTCAGCTGGGGCTCCTCTCCAGCCTGAACAGCCCCAGCTCCCTCAGCCTTTCCTGGGCACCAAGATGCTCCAGGCCCTCCTCATCCTCACAGCCTGTGCTGGCCCCGCTCCAGGAGCTCCCTGTCCCTGCTGTGCTGAGGATCCAGAGCTGGACACAGCACTCCAGAGGTGCCCCCAGGGCTGGGCACAGGGGCAGGATCCCTCCCTGATCCCCTGGCAAAGTGTGAGCATGGGCAGGGATCGATTGTCGATGGTGGCTCCTGGGAAGGACAAAGTTCCTCTGTCCTGGTGATG